CAGTTCTGCTTCCTTGCTGGGTGCAGTGTACATTGTCCAGAATTGAATCACCTCCTCAATCACTTTGCTCATGATTAAAGGGAAGTATGCAAGTGCACCAGCCTGAGAAATGAAACTCAGAAAAGAGAAAAACTTAACCCTCTGTTCCCATATACGAAACTTAACCCTCTAATCCTATACGTATATGTATTTCAGAATTTCAAAATAATATGACTATCTTTCAGATTAATTCAGATGCTCTATCAGATTATAACCTCTCCCCCCCAAATATTGGGAGCATCTAACCAACAGAAAATAAGAATCTAACCTATTCTTTTTTTCTTTTCTTTTTTTAATCCTCACCTGAGGACATTTTCATTGATTTTTAGAGAGAAGGGGAGGGGGAGAGAATGATAGATGTGAGAGAGAAACACCCATCAACTGCCTCCCACACTTGCCGGGACTGGGAATTTAATCAGCAACCTAGGTATGTGCCCTGGCAAGGAATTGAACCTTGACCTTTTGTTGTACAGACGACGCTCCTGCCAACTGAGCCACCCTGACCAGGGCTAACCTATTCATTCTATCAGTACTACCAAAGAAGAATTTAAGGCATATTGACTCATTATATTGTTGGAAGAGCCAAAATTAGAGTCCTACTCTGCATTTTCTATTAAAAAGCAAAGAAAGTAGAGCCGAAACCGGTTTGGCTCAGTGGAAGGAGCATCGGTCTGCGGACTGATAGGTCCCAGATTTGATTCTGGTCAAGGGCATGTACATTGGTTGTGGGCACATCCCCAATGGGAGGTGTGCAGGAGGCAGCTGGTCGATGTCTCTCTCTCATCGATGTTTCTAGCTCTCTATCCTTCTCCCTTCATCTCTGTGAAAAATCAATAAAATGTATTAAAAAAAAAAAAAGCAAAGTAGAAAAATCTGTGCTTCAAAAAACTGTCTAGAGTTGTTATTATTGTTAACATAGTGTAATATAATAATGATACTTAACTAGAATAGACCCTACTGTAACTCCATTTCCTATAGCAAAGATTGTTGTGGAATTCTGAGTAAAAGCTGTATAGTAATTAACTTTGCATGGAATCTTATTGTTTTAATCAATTCTTACATAGGTTACGATCATTTTGGGATCACTGCATAGAGGTAGATAAGTTGTTAACACAGGGAGGGGAAAGCTTCACTGTTTTCTCTGTAAGTAGCCTGGGATTTTACAGGATTCCTTTCTCAGTACCTTTCTATGGAAATAGGTTGTTAGTATAAAAAGGCACCGGAAAGCTCTCCAGAACAGCTGGATTTCAGAATCGTTCTGAAATATTCCTAACCAAGAAGGGATTTCAGAATTATCCTAAAGTGGAGACTGGGAAGTTCAAGAGAATTGCCTAACAGGATATTCCTGTGCAGCGTATTTCACTTAAAGCAAGCTGGTTTCTTCTTGTTTATGATCAGCAGATGAAGGCTGAGTGGGCTGAGAGAACTACGTTGGGAAGAAGGGCGTTCCCTGATGGCTGCTGGGAAAGCTAAAGGAGAAGGTGCAGGCTGCTGCCTTGACTTGCCTTATCAGTGACCAGTGCATAGGGGCTCAGCTCTAGAATGTCAGCACATGTACTTCACTAAACACTCTGAGTAGCTCCACATAAAGCAAATACTCTGTTTGGAAGTAGTTAAGCCAGGACAAAAGGATAAAGAAACCTAAAGCAGTACAGGGTGTGCTTTTTTTTTTTTTTTTTTTTTTTTGATAAACTGAATTGTATATAATTGTAAGAGGATATATGAACTATGATTTGCTAGAGTAACTCATTCAGTCATTTAAATGATACAGGCATATGCCTTCACAGAACTAACATGCCTTCACAGAACTAATAGGACAATTCTGATAAAGCTAAAATTTTAAGTACTCTGTAACCTCTGTAATCAGTGGAGATAGGAATGGAAATGCTGCTTTAATTCATACTGGTTCTTGCCAAATTTTTCCATTTCTATTCATTTGGATTGTATTCTTTCCAATGTTATGATGCCACCTCCTCTGTCACTCCTTCCTTTCTGTTTTCTTTCAACTGCGTCCTACCCTTTCTTTATCCTCCTCAACCTTCAGTCCTCCTTGGGCAACTCCTTCAGGCTCTCTGCAGTTCACCACACTTATGCCAATGACTCTGAGTTTTAATCTCTCTCTTCTAACTTCTTCCTGAACATTCTCATCTGAATATGCTCTTGACTCTTGAATTCGGCAGGATCTGATCTGATCTCTGATCTGAACTCATTTTATTTCTCAAACCTTTCACATCTCTTGTATCTCTTGGTGAATGATGTGCAAGCTGCCCAGTAGCCTAGGCCAGTCATGCCCTCATCCTTTATCACTCTCAACTCATCATAACTGATTGTAATCAAGTTGTATAATTTCTGCCTTGCTATTTCAAGTTTGTTTTCTCCTCTCTACTACCATTGCCATCAGCTCAGGACTATTTTTAAAACTTATAAGACCTTCAATGGTCCTCTCTGCAGATGGCTCTTGTTTTCCAACTCATCCTTCACTGTAGCCAAGGAAGCCCTTCAAAAATGCCTGCTTGATTGTTAATCCCTCTGCTTAAACTTTCAGTGGCTTCATATTGTTTGCAGTTGTTATAGTCTCGGGTATCTGCATGGATTAAGCAGATAATGTGTGTGAGGGAAGTGGGCCAAATATGAGATAGTGGGGGAGAATATTTCTGTATTCCTCTCTACAGAAATTCAATTCAGAATTTTTTAAGATGTTTAATAATCCTGCCTGAGAATCTAATGTTGCCTATAAGTCTCCAGTTAATGCAGCCAAGTCTAAACTGCTGAGCATGGCAGTGTTTCTTTGATATCAGGTATGTCTTTGAGATGAACAACTTGGAACTCTCAGCTGTTGCAGAGACCAATGTAACCAGTGAGTCACGTTTGTTGTTGTTTTCTAGGTCAGAACATATCAGAATAAAGATGTGTTTGTTATTATAAGTACCACTGTCTTCCTTCACATTGGAAGCTGGGGAGCATAATGAGAGGTCTATGGGCTTTGGAGTGACCCTTGACCTAGGTTCACTTGCCAATTCCATCACATATTTGCTTGTTTGTATGACTTTGAGCTAGTCATTTAATGGCTTAGAGCATCAATTTTCTCCTGTAGTTAAAATATAAAGAAATAAGCCTTGCAGGGTTGAGAGTGCAGTATCAGATTCTCGGCCGCTTTAAATTTTCCAGCTCAGTGTTTGGCATATAGTAACTCTTCAGTAAAGGATAGCATCTAGACAGGTAGAGATAATTTAAGAGGCAGCAGTGAATAATATAAAAATCCAATTTCCCCGGCTGGATCCTTCTTAGTAATTGTACTTGTGGCCTAAAGAAGAGCAAACCAGTTGCAAGCCATTATCAGGGGAGGCAGGCTATTGGAAGCAGACAGACACATCATTTACCCTTGGAGCTAAAAACCAGGAGCTTGCCAGTCTCGCTGGCTATCAAGCGGAAACTGGAATTTAAGACTAGAAGTTCAGTTTTCTGTTGACAAATTCAGTTTTCTGTTGACAAGATGGGGATGTGGACTTTCTACAACTATGAATAATGTCTTAAGCTCTTTTTCACTTTTTTTGTCTATATGTAATCTTTAAATTTTTTCGTGAAAGTTATATTAGCTAGCTGAAACCGGTTTGACTCAGTGCATAGAGCATCGGCCTGTGGACTGAAGGGTCCTAGGTTCGATTCCAGACAAGGGCATGTACCTTGGTTGCGGGCACATCCCCAGTAGGAGGTGTGCAAGAGGCAGCTGATTGATGATTCTCTCTCATCGATGTTTCTAATTCTCTATCCCTCTCTCTTCCTCTGTAAAAAATCAATAAAAAATATATATATTTTTAAAAAGTTATATTAGCTAAAAATTTACTTCAATAACATGAGGATATTTTATTTTGGTTTGTTCTCTACAGCTGTATAAATTTGAAGCACCAAGGGAAGTTTTCTTTATCAGAACCTTTTTTGGTGTTGTTAATCTTCACCCAAGGATAGTTTTCCCATTGATTTTTTTTTTTTTTTTTTTTTTTTTTTTTTTTTTAGAGTGAATGGAAGGGAGGAGAAGAGACAGAGAGAGGGAAACATCCATATACGAGAGAGACATGGTTTGGTTGCCTCCTTAAGTGGTTGGGTATTAAGCCTTCAACCAAGTTACGTACCCTTGACCAGAATCAAACTCTTGACTCTTCAGTCAGCAGGCCAATGCTCTAACCATTGAGCAACCCAGCTAGGGCTATCAGAACAGTTAGCATGGTGAGGAAAGAGGGCTGTTGTATTTACATATTATTCTAATGTTTTCATTGTACATTATGTTTTCATTGATCTAGGGACAATAAAAAAGTCTTCAAGAGCTTTCATAATTCACCTAAGGGAAAGAAAATACACCATCTTTTCAGACTCTAAAATTTAGCATAAATTCAACATTTAAGTATATTTTACTCAGTAATTTGTATACCCACCTTACATGGTTGAAATAGGGGGCTGAGCAGCTAACAGTATACTTTTCTGCCTTTCCCCAGAGCTGTCGTGATAATGAATTAAGTAGTACAGATAATAACTGTTGGCAGAATGACATCCACTGAACTTCTTCTTGTACTTAAAATGGAGAGGCTAGAAAGCAAGACAAAGAGCATTTCAACTTCTTTGCAGCAGTATGTCTCACCCAGACAGACTTTCAGGCCCAGATAAATGATACTATATTTAAGTTACAGAGGATTGTGTCTAAGGAAACAAAGCAGAAGTATTTAAGAGAATATTGAAACACAAAGAAAGACAAGTACTGTCTTTACTGGCTATGCTGAAATTCTCTTGGTTTTAAGGAGTATCACAAAAAGGTTGATCTAGATAAATACATTGGTATTCTATGACTTGATATTTTTTAGTGTTCATCTGTTTTTCTTAAATGACTGATTTTGTTTTTGTCAATGCCATCTAAATATTGTTTCCCCCCCCTCCCCCTTCTTCCTTCCTTTCTTCCTTTCTACTTGCAGCTCCTCAGAGAAATTTTGAAATTGCTTTCAAGATGTTTGACTTGAATGGAGATGGAGAAGTAGACATGGAGGAGTTTGAACAGGCAAGTTGTCTTAGAAATTTCCTTTAAATACATTCATATTTAACCCAGTTTCATGTGCTTTGGAGTTATTTTGGCCTTGGTCAATAGACTCAGATGCTACCCAATTTTTGAAGTACCTAATGTGTCTTTTTTAAAATTACTAACTTTTAACATGTGGGTTTTCTTGTTTTAACTCTAAACATAAGGAATTATTTGAATATACTATTAAAGTCAAGATTGCTCTGATTTCCCAATATGAAATCAACTATAATGCTTAGAGGCTAAGTTATGAATATTCAATTATATATTCAGGCCATGTTTATCAAACAGCTACCCTTTGCTAGGCAGTTTCAGAATACAAGGATGAATGGCAAGTAAGAAATGCACAGAGACAAATATTTTAAAATACCTAGAGACATTTATTCAAATTTGCACCCTATGTCATCATACATTTTTTAAAATATGTTTTTATTGATTTTTTAGAGAGGAAGGGAGAAGGATAGAGAGAAACATCAATGAGAGAGAAACATAGATTGGCTACCTATTGCACACCCCCTTCTGGATCAAGCCCCCAGTACAGGCATATGCTCTGACTAGGAATCGAACCTGTGACCTCTTGGTTCCTGGGTCAGTGCTCAACCACAGAGCCACACCAGCAGGGCAGTTCTACACTCTTAAATATTTACAATCTACTTAGAATTCATATTTTACTATGGCATATAAAATATAGAAACTTTGCAACCATGTACCATTTACCCCTTCTCCATTCTTTCTGCCGTAGCTGTCCTATGTATTATATCTGCATAGAATAATCCTCCCTTATCCGAGGGAGAAGTGTTCCAAGACCCGGCCCCCAGTGGATGGATGCCTGCTACTTTGGATAGTACCAAACTCTGTACATATTGTGATTTTTTCCTAAACATACATGCACTTTGTGGCTTCTCTTTGGCATATCCAAATTGTTCATACCATACTCTTGTGCTTTGGGGCCATTATTAAGTAAAATAAGGACTACTTGAACACAGGCACTGTGATACCGTGACAACAGATCTGATAACTGAGATGGCTACTAAGTGACTAATGGGTGGGTATTAGATATAGCATAGATATGCTGGACAAAGGGATGGTTCACATCCCAAGTGGGATGGAGCAGGACGGTGAGAGATTTTATCACACTGCCCAGAATGGCATGCAATTTAAAACTTATGAATTGCTTATTGCTGGATATTTTTCACTTAATATCTTCTTTCTCTTTCTTTCTTTCTTTCTCTCTCTCTCTCTCTCTCTCTCTCTCTCTCACACACACACACACACACACACACACACACACACACAGACATGAAACTTAGTGATATGTACTTTTCAATAAAGTTTTTAACTAAAGGATATTTATAGTTATTAATAGTTTACACATAAGTGTGATAGTATTTGGATTGTGTTATTGTTAATCATTAATAAAGATGCTATAAAAAAATAAAGACATTATAGTATTAGTTAATTTTCCCAAAACACACTTTTTCCCCCAGTCACTTATACAAATACTCTGAGCACCACTTTTGAAGCTAACATACAGTTTCCACAATAGCAGAGCTATAAGCTATATTTGTAGCCACAACAAAACTTAAATCAGTAGGTCTTAATACTGATTCAATACTGGTTCACTGCTATTGGAAAATTACTCATTTCTCACTTAGATAAAATAATTTATATATTGCCTTCAAATAGAAGAAGCACTTTTCTGATTATCCTGTGTTTCAATTTAAAATACAAAAAACTGTGCCCAACCAGTTGTTCAGTGGTTGAGCATCAACCCATCCACCAAGGTCACTGGTTCAATTCCTGGTCAGGGCACATGTCCCAGTTGTGGACTCTATCCCCAGTGGGGGATGCGCAGTAGGCAGCCAGTCGGTGTCTCATTCTCAACATTGATGTTTCTCTTTCCCTTCCTCTCTCTGTAAAGTCAATAAAAAAACATTTTTAAAAAGTAAGAAGAAAGTCTAAAAAACTCCAATTTAAATAATTTTAAAATCTATTACATACCTGGCTTTTAAGTCTCCGTGTGCCTGAGAAACAAATGTCAACCAATCTGGGCCCTGGCCGGGTAGCTCCATTGGTTAGAACATCATTCCAATACAACAAGGTTTGGGTTTAATGCCCCGTTGAAGGCACAAATGAGAATCAGCCAATGAATGCATAAATAAGTAGGACGATAAATTGATGTTTATCTATCTCTACCTTCCTCTCTATCTAAAAATCAGTCAATGAATAAAAATGCCAACCAATCTTATTTACATAAATAAATATGAACCCAGAAAAAATCATAATCAAAACCATTTATGATGTTAACTAGAGTTAGAAGAAAACAATGATAATGTGCTCTGCGAACATGAGAAAAATAAGGCTTAAAGAGGTTAAATGATTTGCACAAATTCTACTCTCACTACAGAGTAACAGAACCAGACCCCATGTCTCCTGACTAGTCTTTCCATTATACTCTTACAACCTTTATAGAGCCTGAGACTTTTAAGTTGTCTTAAATAAATATTTTATGGTCATAAATAACAAGTAAAATAATAAACACTTAACTAGGGTGAATTTGTTGTTACAAGTCTTAAGTTTAAGTATTATGTTTTTCTCATTTGGCTATTTAAACGTCAAGGCTACCTATATTGTTTATTTCTGTAACATATTTTATTATTTACCCTTATGTATCCAATTTAGTTATTCTGAATAGCTGTGTTTTTTAGCTTGTAAAGAGGTAGAAAAAATGGCAGGAACTAGTAGGGGCAAAAAAGCTATAGCAATTACCAACTTGCCTCAAAAAAACTACATATATATGTGTGTGTGTGTGTGTGTGTGTGTGTGTGTGTGTGTATATGTCATTAAGCCATAGTTGTAGTCCCAAAAGTTATCCTTTCTCAAAAAGCACTTTTAAAACTTCTCAGAGATTGAACTAATCCCACATGTTTTCTTGGAGAGTTATTTCATACAATTTTGTATTTTCGTATATCATTCTAATAAATGTTATCTCTCTTAGATGTTAAGTATTTATTTGCCTATAACTATGCTGTCACTCTTCATAACTAGAGAATTAGTAGTGAAAATTGTGGAATTTTAAAAATTATCCTGAGAAAAGGAAGGTATTACTGTGAAGTTGATCATTATTTATTGTGAGAGAGGTTTTGAGCCTCAAAACAAATATATACTCTTTTCTGAAGAGAGATATATAGTAGGGTCCCAATTATAAAAGTATCAGACATCTGTGTTAGAATCCTGGTGCTGCTACTTGACTTTGAGCAAATTGCTTGACTCTATGTGCCCCAAATTTCTCATCTATGAAATAAGGAACCTCATAGGCCTTCTCTCATAGGATTGTTGTGAGCATGGGGTGATGGGGTGGAGAGCTGGTGTGAGCTAGAAGGGGTCAGTGCGGGGGAAAGGGAGACATCTATAATACTTTCAGCAATAAAGACTTTTTTAAGTAAAGTAAAACAAAAGAAAGAATTGTAGCACAGTGAAGGCAAAGAATAAACAATCAATAGGCAGTTATTTTCCTTACTTTTCTCTAATTTTTCACTTTGTAATGTTTTTCTGGATGGGGGTTTGCTTCTCTTTAGGTTCAGAGCATCATTCGCTCCCAAACAAGTATGGGTATGCGTCACAGAGATCGTCCTACTACTGGTAACACCCTCAAGTCTGGCTTGTGTTCAGCCCTCACAACCTACTTTTTTGGAGCTGATCTCAAAGGGAAGCTGACCATCAAAAACTTCCTCGAATTTCAGCGCAAACTTCAGCATGATGTTCTGAAGTTAGAGGTGGGTATTTCCTGGACTTCGGGGCACTGTCCATCCCGTGTTCGCAGAGAGCCGTGGGGTGGGAGGGCCTGCATTACTGGCATTCTTTCCGTCTCTCTCCAGCTGGGAGAACTGATTGCTTTGAACCGTATCAGACAGTGACTTACTGTCCAACAGCAGGTTGGAAGTCATGTGTTCTGAGAAATGTCTTGGAGTCAGGTGGTTCTGGGCCTGAAAGCAAGTGTCTCAATTGAACATGTCATTTGTCTTTGATACTCAGCTTGAGGAAAAAGAAATGCAGAGGTCAGAGGTGCTCTCAACCTGAGCATGTATCCCCACTTTATACTATTGTGGAGACGAGGGGGCCTCCCACTTGACTCAGTTGAGACAGTTTGAAAAATCACAACTGAATTCCCATTATTAATAAATTTTAGTTTATTATTTGTTATTAATACTTAACTGAGGATATTTTTTCTACTCATTTTTAGAGAGAGTGGAAGGGAGGGGCAGAAGGGGAGAGACATCAGTGTGAGAGAGACATCGATTGGTTGCCTCCCCACACTCTAAGCCATGCTAACCAGGGCATTAATAATACATGTTTTAAAAATACATTTAAAAAAAGAACACTCTTAAATATTCATGCTGTAGAAGAGAAGCAGAAGTAGAATAATACTTCTAAAAATTAGATCAAACTTTGAAATGTATCTGTGTACATGTTTTCTGAAGATGGTACAATTGATATTCAAAGAATTTACCCAAAAAAAAAAAGTACCTTTGCACGTTCGCCTTGCTCATGCTACTGGGGAGCCAAACGATTGGGGGTAATTGTCGCAGGAGCCCACAGAGGCGTCCATTTCAAACTGAAAGAGAAGACTGCCCACAGCATCCTGGCATTCTTCAGAGATGACAGGTGTCAAATATGGCATGATGGGATTGGAGCCCCCCCAATTGGCCCTGAATGTGAAGCGTTTCCAGGAGTGGGCAGTGGTGCTGGCAGACACAGCGGTCACCCGTGGCAGGCACTATTGGAAGGTAACAGTGAAGCGCTCCCAGCGATTCCGGGTGACAGACGTGGACATTTCTTGGGATAGCTGCATCGGTGCTAATGGCCATTCTTGGGTGTTAACCTATGCCCAGTGCAAGTGGCAAACCATGTTGGCCAATGAGGAAGCCCCTATTAAGGGCATCAGGCATCCAGAGAAGGTGGGACTGCTGCTGGAGTATGAGGCCCAGAAGCTGAGCTTGGTGGGTGTGAGCTGGGTGGTTGTGGTCCACATGCTACAGAATTCCAGGGTCCAGTGGACCTGCCTTTGCCCTTTGGGATGGAGAATTGCTCACCCATTCAGGGCTTGAGGTGCCTAAGGGCCTCTAGTGTGTCCGTCACTGGATTTCCCAGTAACACTCTTGGCCAACCTCCTTCTGAAAGTGCCTGGAACCTTTTAACTTTGCCTCAAGCATCCTCTAGCTCCCACAACTCAGGTCCTCTGTGCAAAATCTTAGTCATTTTCTCTCCCCTACCTGTGAAAGCTAGGCTACCATGAATGGATTTTCCTTGACTTGCTTCCTTGGGTCCTCTGTCTTCCTGTGCCCAGGCCTTTCTCAGACTGTATTCAGTCCTGGGGTTTTTCCTTTCAGCTTTGTTTGGATTTATCATCACTATGATACCTTCCTCTCCTTTTGCCCATGTGTAACTGCTGTTTGTTCTTGGTGTTCTAGTGAGTCTCTGCACAGTAAATCTTTTCCGCCTCTGGCTGGCGGAGTGGTTCAGTGATTTGGCCCTTTCCCTAAAGCTCATACAGATCCTGGACTCTGCTCCCTCAGAAAATACTTTACTGGCTGTCAGAGTGAGAACAGAGCCCTCCTTCCTCATTCCTCAAAGCTGGACTCTCAGCCCACACAACTGCGGCTATCCTCACCTGCCTTAATCTGCTTCCCTCTGACACCTGGTCAATCCCTGGTACTCACCTGGCCAGTTTCAACCACTACCAAAGGGAAAGAGACACTTGGGGGATATCAAGGGCCTTTGTGCTGGAAACTTTATTCTTGAGAAGTTCTAGCTTCATTTCTGCTACATTGGAACTTCCAGAGGGAGGAGAGAGACCTGAGGTCTTACACAATACGTTTTTGGGCCTGCTTAGCTCCAAACCCTCACCCTCCCACCGCAACCTTGACAGCAGAATACACTGAACCTAAAGCAGTATTAGGGGTTCAGGAAAAGCTGGTGGGATGAGCATGGATGTGAAACATGTATTCCTCTGTCTGACCCTGTGGCTCCATCTTATTCTATCTTTATGGTGGTGATGCAACTGAATGCCTCTAAGGGTTTGGCAAAAATAATTATTTGTGTAATTAAAGTTTATTTGAGCGCACACACACACACACACACACACACACACAAAAGTAATGGATTTCTACAATTCAGCCTCCTTGAGTACCTATAATAAGTGATATACATATATACAAAAGTCAGATTTTAGATGTGCGTGAGAACCCACAAGGGATAATGGAAGACCCAGAGGAATATCTAGTGTTTATATGCTGGGTTAAACAAAAAGGATGATCTGCCTTTATGAAGTTTGCATTCTTATCACCAAAGAAGGTGAGTCTAAGTTGAGAGAAATCTGTAAAATGAACCTTGTTAAAATAATTCTTATCATCCCTTAGTCTCCCCATATATGTTAGCTATTTTTCTACAGTTGCCATTTTTTGTCTGTTTCCTGCTGATAAAGGGACGACATCTTTCACACAGGAATTTTACTCCTGTTTTCAATTTTGAGTTGTTATGAAGCTCAAAACTTCTCTCACAATGAATAATTATCAACTTCACAGTAATACGTTTAATATCTCAGGATAATTTTTTAAATTTCACAATTTTCATTTCTGATTTCTAGTTGTGATAAGAGATAGCAGTTATAGGCAGAGTTGGTATGTATTAGAATTCTAGACATATGCTGCCTTGGCCCCTGATGTGCATACCTAGAGTAGTCTTCTGTGGAAACGTATTAACATAATCTGGGAATGTAAATTATTTTACTAATTGATTATGTAATTACAATTTAACACAGAGTATAGATCCATAAAATGTAGTTAGAGAATAAACACAAACTAAATAGTACTTTAAATAACAATACGGCGTCATTCAGAGCATGGAGCAGGTGCCACGATCTAGCTTAACAGACATTCCTAGACATACAATTGGGAGTCTCAAAAGACAGAGCATGAGACTTTTGTCTTTCACCCTGAGATGCTATTCAGCTGAAAGCCCACTATAGATTGTATAGATTGCCAATTAGGTAGAATATTATAAAGCAGATCCAGGATTTCACATATAGTGTGTACCAACGTATAGCTTACGCCCAAATGCAGAAGAAAATAGATCTAGTAGACAGCCTTATCTAAAATACTTATTCTAACCATTTAATTAAAAAAAATTACTATTGCGATATCACCAAAAGAAAGGAAAAAATTATTCAATGCAATAATAAAGTAATTTTTAACCATTTAATAAAAAAATAATAATAAAATAAAATACTTATTCTAGAAAGCTATTGGCTTAGCATCATCTGTAGGCTTTGGGCCAAGATATACCAGGATTGTAATTGTTTGGCAGTCAGCAATTCCCCATGTAAGGGAATCAATTGACTTTTTTGTGAAAGAACGCAGGTTAATATGTAATAAATATTCTATAAATGTTTATTAATCCTGAATTCATTCTATAATAGCACAAGTCCAGTGAATAAGTGGTTCCTTATCAATAAAACCCATTATGTCTTCCCCACTAGATTTGTAATTTTTTTAGAAACTGTGAATAGCAAAAAGAGCATAGATTTTGATGTTCTCATAATGAGATTTTGATTAAAATTTTATTTCCACCACTTACTGGCTATGTGTCATTTGATGAGTTATTTATTCTCTTAGAGCCCGGCTTTTCAGGACAATGTTTAAGTGAGATGGTGTTTCTTACTGGCTGGATTATGTTCCCCAGAATTCCTTTGTGGAAGCCCATAACCCCAGGACCTTAGAATGTGACTATACTTGGAGGCAGGCCCTTAAAAAAGTGGTTAAGTTAAAAAGAGTCCTTGAGGCTAGGCCCTAATCCAGTCTTACTGGAAGAGAAAATGTAGACTCACATAGGGAGACACGGGGGTGAGCATGTGCAGAGGGAGAACCATGTGAGAAGACAGCAAGAGAGAAACCAGCAGCAAGCCAAGAAGAGAGGCCTCAGAGGAAACCAATCCTGCTGGCACCTTAGACTCCAGCCACCAGAACTGTGAAAAAACAAATTGCTGTGAAGTCACCCATTTGGTGGTAGGCAGCCCTAGCAAACTAATATACCACCGGGCATATACTATGCCTGTAATAAGTATACATTCACCTTTTTTTTGTCTACCCTCTGCCATTTAGTGTGGTAGTTGGCATATAGTGGGCACTTAAACAGGTCTTTTCAGATAAATGACCAAAAGGCCTTTCATTTTGAAAATAGTTTTCTCATAAGACATATGGAAAATGGGGCAATTTTTGTTTTTATGAAACACTTTTAATTTTACTTTTCAAAGTTTAATTTCGCTCCTCATTAAGTATGAAGTATGTCATCATCACAGCCAAAAGGAAATTAGAAATGATTACTATTAGCTTTCATATGGATTTTATCATTTCCTCATTCTTTCTATTTCTTAATCTTATTGGTTTTATTTCTTTACTTATCTACTTTAAAATTTTAGATCAAGGAGATTTATAGTTTCATTTAGTTATTTCTTTTCTCTTCTCACCACAGTAGTTTTGAGAGTGAAAAAAATACCATTTATCTGTCAATTTTAATTTTCAGAGAAGTCAGGAAAGAGGGAAATGTCCATGAACATTTAATGAGTGCCTACTACAAGCCATGCAATTTACATATATTATATTCCTTCTTTGTTTTAATTCCAGCCAACCATGTTGGTTTTATATCCATGTCACAACTGTAGAAACTGAAACTCAGAAAGATAAAGTCACAGTGCTATTAAATGGTTGAGTCAGGATTC